ACATAAATTTCCTTTCATAGATTTGACAGAAGCTTATTTTCATATGGTGACTGCCCGCTGTTGGATTCCTTGATTCCTTGCCCCTGTGATCAGTTTAGGGCAGGGGTGTCAAACTCAAGGCCCGTGGGGTGCTTAGATCTGTCCTGTGGGGCCGCCCTGGAAACAGTAAAGGACCAGCCCGTAGTGCTTCTGCCACCAACAACGGAGCTACATTTTCACTGGCAGAGGGTTGCAGGAGGCCGTCCCAGCCGAAAACAGCTTGGGAGCCCATTTTCTCTGGCAGAGTACTCGGGCCACCACAGGCGCCCCCAAAACAATTGACATCAAGATGGCCATGCTGTACCTGGCCACCAGCCCCCACAAAGTCAAACACAACCCTGATGCGGCCCTCAATGAAATCGAGTTTGATACCCCTGGCTTAGGGGCATCTTGATAAAGGCATCTAAAGAATGTAGTAAATGTTTAAACGAATAGTTATTACGTTTGCTCCTTATCCCATTATAAGTTGCAACTTTCTAATGATGCCTTTTAGTTGCAGAACTGCAGGATAGTCCTTTACGCTTTTCTGCTGCTTCCAATCCTAGGATTCCACAAGTCAGTCTGAATTGCATTCTTGTTGCACCTGGAAAGCCACAGGGGACTAACTTTGGTTCCCTCCTCTGATGGGGGTAAGGAGGAATGCATCCAGCTCCTAAAGCAACTAACTCTATTCAGTATATATCATGGCATTAGTAATCATCAGGACATAATAGTGTACAAACTTTCTGTTTGGAATATGGACCTGCATTTCCATTTCAAAGACTCCTATTTTTTTACTGCTACATCCTCTTTCCACTTTGGGGAGTTTGTTGTTCTTTCCATGATGTCTTAGCCCTTTGAGTCCCTTAAGTAGGTTTGTCTAAGGTAGCTTTTCTTGTCAATTTCTTAGACAAGTGTAACTGAACAATTATCTTTGCTCCCTACCATTCTTACCTTATCTTTCATTAGAATAAGTGCACATTTGGATGTTTTCTTTTTACCAAGGGACATTTCCAAGTTGTGCCTCTGTCAAGAATTGGTTTTGCCAATGCTTCTCCATGTACCTTGAAATAATGTGGAGATTTGTGTGTGGGTTTATAGTATGTGTGTGCATTTGTGGGTAGATGGATAGACAGATATATGGGTATAGCTATAGATACAGAATATCTGAATTCTTCAGTGTTAGTTCACTATCAAGTTCTAGCAAATATCCTCAGATGTCAGACCTGAATTTTGCCCAGCAGCGACTTCTGTGGCAACTTTTTAATGAGAAATACAGTATAATCTCTTTGCTTATGTTGAACTACGGTTTGGTCCCAAAGACTGGCCTTCAGGGATCAGTCTAGTCTAGATCTTTGATCCAAGATGGGCTCAGCTTTTGGCAGCACTATCTTCTGTCTTATCATGATCCACATACGTGAACCACAAATACCCCAAAGAAGAAGAATTAATTATTTGCCTGTGATTATAGTTCTCCAAATGGTCATCTGTTAATTTATACAACCTAGCCTTCCTCCCACTTGTACTGCAAAGATAATTAGAGGTAACTTGGTGTATGGAGGTAGGTGCAATTTAGGGACATGATGAAACTCTGCTTGCTTTATTCGGTATTCAGTGTAGTCAATATACTTAATAGAGTGGACTTCAAAGCTGTTGTGCAAGACAGACCCCATATGTTCAGATTCACAAATAATCAACCTGAAGAACTGCAGCAAGATGATTGACAGGTATTACCTTGTGAAAGACAGTATTGATTATCCAGTGTCATTCAGCCTTTATGCAGAGATGTATCTTCTAATTCAATTTATAGTCACTACCCTTTTTCACGTACTATTTTTTCAATATTTTTAAAATATTAGTTTTTATTATTAATGGTTTAATCTTGAACACTGCCCCTTGATCCATCAACCTCCTGGTTGATAAATGTTTGAAGTTTGGAGATGTGATCTATGTTCTGATTCTGATTTTATTGTAAAATTCTAGTCCTTTATGGATCAAATAAAACATATTTATGCTGCAATATTATCTATTACTACGGACAAAAAATAGGACAGAATTGTTGCCACTCAAAACTGAGGGTGTTTGTGTCAGTTTGCAGCAATCCAACCAGCACACCAGTAAATAATTCAGCAGGATTCATTTATAGAAGAAACTTGTTTATATACAATGATATATAACATGATGCATATATACAATACCCATGCAGCTCTTGCAACATGGTAGCAAGTATAAAGACAAGAAGCAGAAGTAGAAGCTATAATGCAAGGACAAAACGAATTTATACATATATACATATACATATACATACATATATATACACATACATATACATATACATATACATATACATATACATATACATATACATATACAGATCAGTTAAGCTAAGCCACGCCCAGGCTCCGAGCTGTCTCTCATGGCTCACAACAGATCCTGTTTTTAATCACCAAACAGTTCCCATTGGCTGACTTCTTGTTATGGCTATCCCAGCTCATAATTTCTTATACACTGACAGTTTGCTTAGGATAGCTGGAGGGGATAATTAATGTAATGGTCCCTGAAAACTATCCATTGAGAGGGCCAGGTGAGCGATCTACTGATTTAAAATGTTTGTCCCTTCCCTTTTTTAAGATAAAATGATCACTGAAGTATTGACAGGCACCCACAGCTCAATAGGACAATCTGAAAACCTAGATCAATGACCACGTACACAATATTCCTCTCCCTAAAACCAGTAAGTGAGGCTTGATTCCTTCTCACTCATTCCGAAATTTCAAAATAGAGCTTGGTTCAAAAAAAAAAAGAAAAAAAAGAATTGTAACTATATTTGATGGGTCATTAAAAACACAATAAACTTATACTGTGGAGGTGGGTGGAGAAAGCACACAAGAATATAATGCTGATTCTTCTGCAGGAGATCTGAGAAACTGCTGACTCTTCAGAAGAGACAAAAGCAGAACTCTGCTATTAAAACCTCAAAGTGGGACATTCACAAGGTGATATCCACTGCAGGGCATTAGCCTCCTGCTGGGGAGCTTATATTTCTGCCTTGATACAACCCAAAAGAATATCCCTCTGGGCTTTTGAGTTAATGTTTCTTTATTAGATTAATACATATTTTGCAAAGTAATAGTCCCATGAAAGGAGCCAAGGAAATGTGATCAGCATGTATGGGAAGGACACATCCAAATAATATGTTGCAGCAGTAACAATAATCACATTTTAATTTTCCAAGTATCAGAAGTCACAAAACTTGGTGGTATCTACCGGAAGTAATGTTGTCTTCAAGAAAGGCTGGCAAATGACTTGCTTTTTATCTGTTTGGACAATTGGCTTCCCCATACCTAAAAGGGTAGTTAAAAATAGGATTTCTCCACCTAGTACTTCTACAGAGGTGTTAGACTCCAGTCCTGGCTAGGAGTGATAGGAGAAGAAGGTAAACATTGTCAAAGAATACCAGATTTCAAAAGACTGTATTAAAGAATACTGATTAAATGGTATTATTGATGCAGGGTACATGATCTTGTTTGGGTGTTATCATTTTAACTTTTTCTTTTCAGGTAACTTTCTCTGCTTTGAGAGAATTAACACCTAAAGTTAATGATACATAGGTGAGCAGGAGAGGGGGGGATATTTTTAAAATGAATTTTAGGCAGAGATTTTTGTGGATGGGCGGAGGGCAAATCCTTTCATGCCCACATATACATTTACTGTGATCTGGGAACTAAATATGACAAGGCGATGTGCTTACATCTGTCTTCCCCAAAACATATGGTTATTATTAAAGCACAGGCGTATATAGTTTATACAAAATTCTAACATGAAAACTGACTGTAAGAGGTCAACTGAGTCCTAGTTGGCCCCAAGTCAGTCCCATTATTCATACTTTACACAAACAAACAAAAGTTTAAGGTGAACAGCAGTCAGGGGAAAATGTTTTCTTAAGCTAGTTCAGTTGTTCTCATGAAGAAGTATGCGAACAACATGGAAAAGAATGGATGCTAATGTGCATAATAAACAGAGCTGTGTCTATTTTACTAACCTGAACCTCACTTAGAAGTGAGATCTAAAAAAAATGCGTACATTATGTAACATAACATGCCAGGTGAAGTGTGAAAACAAGTAGATTGTACAGTATCTGTTGGATTTGCAGAAATCTTGTGTTAAGGCTCCAATGATCATGGAGGACCAGGTTAGGTCTTAAAAATTGGCAGCTAGTCCTGCATGTCAGCTACAAACAGCAGAAGCTGTACTTGGATACTACCAGGGGACAAAGGATTGGGGAACGCTCTCTGTGGCATTACTTAATATATCTTCGTCATTTGCCCCATTGCAATATTTTCCATATTTCCTTAAATCCCATAAGGAGGCTAGTACAGATGATCAGAATTGTAACCCATTATATCCAGGGTCAGAAAGGCTGAGAAAAGCTGGCCTGCAGTTTCTGGTTCCCTGCTGTGTATATTCGGCTAAAAAGAAAAGAGATGGATCAAAAGAGGTTAGACTAGAATATCGATTCACCTCAAAGCTAAGTATGGAATATCTAACATCAGAGCCACCATCTGATTATGCTGCTTAGAAACTAATCTTGTTGTCTCAAAAAAATGGGCTGCGGTTCCATGTCTGAAATAATTTGGCAGATCATTTCAGTTTCACGAGGGCCATACTTTTTTTTTGCAGGCACAAGAATGCATGCCAATAGGGGAAATGACAGTGCTGTTGGATTACAGCTACTGTGTACTAAGAATGGGGAAGACCCACGAACTTTTAAAAGTGCCTTTCAGAAGTTTAGGGGTGAAGAACACAATCAGCAGTAAGAACAGCAGCAAAAATATTTCCTCATTTTTCTTTTGCTGGCCTTGGAGATTTCAAGAAACGGGACTGGTCTATAAATAAGGGGGATGCATAAATGAGAAGCTTGAATCTAGTACCAACCCTGGTAACCAATCTCAATGTTGCTTTTTTTTTTTTTCCATCGACAGATAACAAATACGCTCCTGCAGTCACTCTCAATGGTTTCATCTTTATCCTTGGAGGAGCTTACGCACGAGCAACCACCATCTACGATCCAGAAAAAGGCAATATTAAAGCAGGCCCCAACATGAACCACTCCAGGCAGTTTTGCAGGTGAGCCAAACAACCAGAGGATGACTGAATTGCTACCATGTTCCGGTACATTTTTTTCCCCTTCTTCAAGAAAGTGATGGTGTGGGAATGAGCAATACAGCAGGAATGAAGTTGCAGTCAGATTGCTTCTTGGTCGTTCTTTTAAGGACCAAGTGTTTTCCATACTATAGCCAGGAAAACTGAGGTTATGCATCCTCACCACCAGTTTTACTTTCGGTAGCTACACATCAAGGTCTATCTGAGTGGGCCCTGTCTTCAGCATTTTGCTAATGGTGGTGCAATGGTTAGAGGGCAGTACTGCAGGCTACTTCTGCTGACTGCCAGCTGACTGCAATTTGGGAGTTCAAATCTCACCAGGCTCAAGGTTGACTCAGCCTTCCATCCTTCCCAGGTGGGTAAAATGAGGACTCAAATTGTTGGGGGCAATATGCTGACTCTGTAAAACCGCTTAGAGAGGGCTGTAAAAGCACTGTGAAGTGGAATCTAAGTCTAAGTGCTATTGCTATTCTCTTGGAGAATTGGGCAGATTGAGTGGCTAAAATGGAGCATGTCTCAGGTTTGTCCTGATCGCAGATAAAATGTATGCCACTCATTTCATAAAGATTCAGGTAGGATGAATTTTCTCAAAAGCTACTGAAGAGATGTTTAGCATTAAAAGCACTGCATTGGGAATGTGCAACAGAGAAGTGCCGTGGCCACAGGTAAAGCCGTCATTGAAAGTTTCATGGCTTATCTCTTAACACTCCTGAATTTTGCCCTGAATAACCAGGGGAGAGACCTGCGGCAAGCAGAATAAAGGCAATGCAAAAGCCTCATCCCGCTTTTTAATTCAGTTGCCTTTCCATATTATATTTATATTTATAATATATTCATATATGCAAACCGGTGCAATAAATCCACTGCATCAGGAATGTCCCACTTAATAGAATCAACAATACAGTTTTTAATCGATGCAGTTTGGTTGCATGATTAAAAATAGAAACAACTATTAAATTTGGATAAGCAAAGCGATACTACCTGCAGTTTAGAATTTGTGGTGTAATTTGAACGTTTGGCCCAGGGAAGAAAGGGCTATTTTAAAAGTATTGGAGGAGGAGGGCAGGGAACTGATTGGGATTTAATTGACATCTCATGGCAGTGTTACAGTGTCATCTTGAAAGTCAGAAAGAACAAAATGGTACCCAGGCTTTGTCTATGCTTCAATGTATGACTTAAAGCCCCAGGTGCAATGTTATTACAAAAGCTTCATTGTATTAAATGTGCAGAGGTTGGAGTTTGGCCCAAGCAGGGTTTTCACTATGTCCACTGTCTTTACTTTTCAGCTCCACCTATAAACTCTATCTATCTGATTGAAATATATCTTTGTGCCTAAGACACAAACATGTATGTGTACACACCAGTTTAAAGTTCATCACTAATTGATTATTAAAACAGATCATAGTCCAAAACTAATGGTGTTAATTTTAGAATCGTGGTGTGGAATTGTAAGCGAAAGCTAATGGGTACTGAATCCCAAGTATTGACTCAATTATTAGAGAGAGAAAATAAACATCTCTGAAGCCAGATGCCAAAACAATATTTAACCTCCCATCTCCAATCTGGCATTCTCTATATGTAACTAGTCAAATGCGCTGCTATCGTGGCCTCAGGCTGATCTCTCTTTGCCAATTTTGAATGAAAAGAAACACAGATTTATTGATTTATTTATTTATTTATTCATTTATTTATTTCCTATCTTTATTATTTTTATAAATAACTCAAGGCAGCAAAAATACCTAATGCTCCTTCCTCTCCTCCTGTTTTTCCCACAACAGCAATGTGGGGTGGGGTGGGCTGAAAAGTTTGTTTTGCAGTAAGTCTGCAGTTCCCAGTTTGGATTGCATATAATAACAAGTTAATTACATTAATATTTGCATAGCTCGCAAATCGTGATAACCCTGGTAGCAATATCATCAAATAGATAGGCTTGTTAATTCATTATGGCTTGTGTAAAACACAATTTCTATTTAATAGCTTGCTCTCTTTCAAACTGTTCCAAGAAGCTTCAAAGTTCCTCCCCAAATGTCCAAAGGAGGAATGGAGGAGTACAGAAAATTCAGCTGTGGCATAAGTCACTCACTCTCAGTCCAACTCCCACCGGCCAACACGCTCCCACAGAGAGGGCCTCTTCGGGGTGCCGTCTGTCAGGCAATGTCAGCTGGCGACCCCCCGGGGAAGAGCCTTCTCTGTGGGGGCACCCGCCCTCTGGAATGAGCTACCCCCAGGGATACGACTGATCTCGGACCTCCGGACCTTCCGCTGGGCCCTGAAGACTTTTTTATTTCAGCAAGCCGGGCTGGGTTAAAAATCTTTTAATTGGGGAATTTTATGGGTAAGGGGTTTTAAATTGGGGTAGCCAAAGACAAATTTAATTTCGTTTTAATGTATTTTAATATTTGTATTGTGTGTTTTTAATTTTGGCTGTTCACCGCCCCGAGTCCTTTGGGAGAGGGGGCGGTATAAATTTTTTTTAAATAAATAAAAATAAATAAATAAACTCGTGTCACAGGGTGGTGGTTGGGGGGGGAGAAGGAAGAAGAAGGGGCATTAGGTATGTTTGCCACCTTGAGTTATTTATAAAAAATAATAAAGGCAGGATACAAATAAATAAATAGATGTTGTGTTGGAATGAGATCTGGAAATAGTCAAATATCCTTTGCTATGAATTAAGAAAAAGTTCAACATTGTATAGCAAACCTTTAATGCAGAGCGGTGGGACTGGACAGGGATTTCAAGAGACTAAGCCGTTGGCTCCTCTACTCATCGAAAGCAACGCAACAGCACTGGCAACAGGAAAGGACCAGAGAAAGGAGAGATTACCTACAGATATCACTTTTGTTCTCCCACCAACTTCCCTCCCCAGAGAGCAGAGAGATTAGAGAAGAGATTTCAAGAAAGTACTGTAAGCACACCTGCAGTTCCCAACCCATCTGCTGGTGCCGTCGCATTGCTCTCGGTGTGCAGAAGGCAATAAGTGGGCATTCAAGTATTCCAGAGGGTGAGAGAGAGGTTAGGAGACAAACAAAAGCAGAAAGTGTGAAACCGAATAGTCTGCTATCTTTCCAGAAGGAAAGGACGTTTGTGCTTATGCAATTCTCCACTTGGTGACTATTTCAGTAGCAACAGTCCAAATTAGGATTGTTAAATGAGAACCATCTGCATCAGTGGGGGGTTTCGACCAGTTCGGACCAGTTCAGGTGAACCGTTAGCGGATCCCAGTAGCCCAGGGGTGTCAAACACACGGCCCGTGGGCCGGATGCGTCACGCACTGGCCACGTCCACCCCCATTTTAGCGAAGGGGGGGAAGTTGTGATATGTCACATGACAATACAAGTTTGATACCCCTGCAGTAGCCTACTCTTATTATTAAAAGGTTTTGGCTTTTTATTATATAGCACCCTTTCCTAAGTCTTGTACATACAGACAAACTGGTTTCTTTGATTTGAGATTGGTCAATAGCTACATTTATTGGTGACTGAAAACCTCTTAAGGGACTTTTTGCATAAAAATAAAAAAAAATGAATTTGTAATTTATGGCTTTGATGATTAGACAGAATAGATTGTAGAAAGAAGAGAGTCACAATGCTACTTTAGAGAGATGTTAAAGTATAATTATAACTGCTGTGAAGAATATCAGAAGCTACTTCTGTGTATTTATAAATCCTTCTTTATGTCTTTCTCTTTTTTTCTACTTTCTCTTCTTGTTGCAATTTTTGCTTTCCCTGTTATTTCTCTCTTTTTGTTCTAATTTAGCTTGTATAGGTTCTAATTATTGCTCTTAAATAAAATCCAGTATATACAGATTATATTTAGATTTTGGCTTTTAAAATGACATATTATTGTTTCGATTCTCAATATTGGGACATGAAGAGAGGAAAGTACCATATCCCTTACAACAGAAACATATTTTCTGATTTTTGTACTGTTTCTCCTGTTTTTATTAAAAGAGTGCCCTCTCTTGGTTGTAAAAAGAATGCTGTCCTGAAACTAACATTACATTATATGCAGAAAATATTACAGTCCAAATCCCAGCCAAAGCCACTGTGTTCCTGCTGCTTCTGTGCTAATTACGGATTTTCATTGTTCCTCTGAGTTAACAAGAGTGAAATTGAATGTAGGAGAACCCCACTGTGTCCGTGCAGTAGTTAATTATATTTTTTCTCTCAAGATTGTAAACCAGAAGCAAACAGTGTGGTACAACTGACATAGCTTCCCTTGGTAATTCATTCCATTAATTATGTGAAGCTTTTTTTTTAAATGAGGGATGTTCTTCAGTGATATTAAAATTACTTGGATGTGAATGAATTTAATGCAGTCATGCTTTCACCAAGATGTCTTGACAGACTAGGACTTCTATAATAATCTGAAGACTTGAGAGTTTATCCAAGATAGGAGATAATTTTACATTTACATCCCTTTGAAAACCCACAAAAGTAGAACAGTTACTTAAGGCATTCTGCTGTTCAGAATAATTCTTTTTTTTTTTTTACATCCAAGATGGAGGAGACGAATTCTTCCTAGTGATGGAGTAAAAATTGTACATACTGTGTTTCTCCAAAAAGACAATCCACCTTGAAAAGAAGTCCTATCACGTTTTTAAGCGCATGCAATCAAATTAAGCCCCACCTACAAAATTAGCCCTAATTAAGACCCTGCCCACCCCAGGGTGCAGGGGGTGGGGCAAGACACACAGGTAAAAAATAAGCTAGGGTGGGGGTGGGAGTGGGGGTGGTGGAGCTGCCCTACTTACCAGGCCTCGCACACCCCGACACCTGCCTCGCTTTCTTCTGCGGCTGCTTGCCGCCACTCGCACGTATCGTCCTGGCCTCTGTTTAGCCTTCAGAAGCCTGCCAGAAGGCATCTGCAGCCAATAATAGAACTCGGATCGATCTGGAGCTCTATTATCAGCTACAGATGCCTTCCAGCAGGCAACTGAAGGAGAAACGGAGGCCGGGGCGATG